GTGTAATGACATATTCCACGGAATAAACCAATTCCCACCATCCTCCAGATTTTGCATCTTCTTTCTTGTCCTTTTCAATCTTGCTAGCATCAGCAAGTGATGGGAACATCTCATTGTTTGAAATGTCCACTTTCTGACCGCCTCCGCGCATCTACAATTAGTACGACGGAAGTAAACATGGCAAAAGATGATACGGAATACAAGCAAAATACTTACACCTGAGTGCCTCTGAGAAGGAATTACGTAAGCAGTCTTTTGCTTCAAATTTGCAAAGTGATCATCGTTTTGATGATCTTCTTCTTCTTCTTTCTTCTGAATCAACAATAAAATTGAGATTGCAAAGAAACAAAGTGATTCCAAATAACTACTTATACGCACCTCAATCTGTCCCCATGTTCTCACAGATTCCGTATGCGCTTTTTGGTCTTCATCATCAATTTGCTCTTCCTCGGCTACGTCGCCGCTATCGGCACCCATATCTTTGATTTTGAGGCCTTCCAATCTCAAAAAAGACTATCAATATTCATAATGGTATGGCATGCACTGTACTTCTCAGTTCGTACTCCGACAACATCTATTCTGACAGCAGCTCAATTGAAATCAATCAGTTCAGCCTGAGCAGCTCAAGATACTCACCTTCCCTGATTGGTATCAGTATAGTCGATCCATTCACTTTCTTCAGAACTTTGATTACCACCGGTATTGTTATTACCGCGAGTGCGAACTTGATATTCGCCTTCTTCGACGGCACGAGCGTCCGCATCTGCTTGAAGCTGATCGCTTTCTTCCTAATAATTTAATTACTCAACGAAACACCGGAAATTGATAATAAAGAAATGATAAACCTGTCTTTTGACTTTCAGTTCCAGTATGTGTCCAACATCCTCCATCTTCACCACATTCTTCTTCTTCTTGTCCTTTTTCTTTGCGAAAAACGCGCTCAAATCGTCCGACATTGCACCAACGTTTTTTCTGTTACTTTTGCTGTAGTGTTGACGTTGTTGTTACCTGCCTGCTCCGTAGTAACCGTACGTTTACGTTCAAGATACTATAACAGTATCAAGACGATATCTGAATGGAATGACGTCAGTAAGGACAACAGGAAATTTAAAGGAAAATCTGATGATTGGTCTTTCCACCCTTCTTAGGACATGTTAAACCTCAGCCCCAAGAAAAGCGAAATTTCATGTTGCCTACGCACAAAATCCCTCCTTTATTCAATTTTTCTTCCTGCAAGAAAAAAACTGACCTTGCTCAGCAAGTGGTCGCGCCACTACGCAAGCACAAGACTGACACAGACGAAACAATGCAATCGAATGAGTCATGCTCTTGATTTGTCCATATCAGCCATATTATCACGAGTGATCAATAGAAGTCTTATTTAGAAATACACTACTTGATTTTGTAGGTGCGTGCCACCACATCTATTATTTAAATTTACCACTACATAACGTCAGAAGCTTCACCGTTTCATATAAAACGCAAAAAAA